GGAAGCATCCTCCTGGTGGATGAGCTCCTCAACGAGGGACCACATGGGAGGGTGGGGGCAGGCCTTGAGAACCTTCTCGAGGTTCTCAATAGTGTTTCTGTAGACGCTGCTGGAGTGGAAGAGCTTGCGACCCATGCCGGACCACTGCGCTCCTTGACCAGTGAAAATACCGAGGATCTTGACTTCGCCGCCGTCAAGCTTGGCGCGAACACCAAGCTCAAGGTTGGAAGAGGAGCCGGCCTTGGAGAGAAGGCTGTCGAGGGCGGCAATGACTCCATCGCGGGAGTCCGCACTAATAGCTGTGCGGTAGGTCAGGGCCGAACGGTGGGCGTACAGGTTGTAAGCGACCTCGTCGGCCGACTTATCAGTCAACACCATGAAGTCGCGGAGGGCCTGGGCCACGGCAACAAGAGACTTCTGTGACTTGGCAGAGATGACTAGAGGGAGACCGACAGCCGGGGCTTCGGCGTCATAGGGAGTGGTGGTGGTGAGTGAGTTGACTGGTGCCTCCAGTGCCGGAGCGAAGTGCTTCGCGACTTCATCGTGGATGCTCGGCTCGTACCTCTCAAGGATGGCATGAGAGTTGGTGCCGCCGAAGCCGAAGGAGTTAACGCTTCCTCGGAGTGGCTGACCAGTCGGGGCCTGGGGCCAAGGGACGACATCGACAGGGATGCGGAGGTGTCCGTAGAACGGCTTCACGCTAGGGTTGAGGGTATTGAGATGCAGGTTGGGTGGAATGCAGTTGTTGATCATGGAGTGTGCCACCTTAAGTAGACCGGCTAGGCCCGCGGCGCCTTCCGTGTGGCCGATGACCGTCTTGATGGATCCGACTACAAGCTTCGTATCGTCACTCTCGGCAGTAGTCTTGGCCTCGTTGCCGAAGAATGCCGTTGAAATGGCCTCAGCCTCCCTGGGATCTCCGGCTTGGGTGCCAGTTCCGTGGGCCTCGAAGTATTGGGGCCTATCGGCGGGATCTTGTGAGTCCAGACCGGATCTACGGTATGTGTCCCGAATCAACTCGGCTTGAGCCAGGGGGCTGGGCATGGTGATACCCTGAGTGCGTCCGTCCGAATTCACACCAGTTTCTCTTACGATGCTGATGATGGAGTCACCGTCTCTCAAAGCCTGAGACAGTGGCTTGATGAACAGAGCCGCGAAGCCTTCACCGCGGGCGTACCCATCTGCACTCACGTCCCACATCTTCGATGTGCCTGTAGGGCTGAGCATGTGCAGACTGGCCTCGCTGATGAATTGCTCGGGGGTGATCATCAAGTTGGCACCGGCCACACAGGCCATCTCGCACTCACCGGACCGGAGACTCAATACGGCCTGGTGTAGAGCGACGAGACTTGATGAGCATGCTGTATCAATGGTCATGGAGGGACCGCGGAAGTTGAAGAAGTATGAGATTCTGTTGGAGAGAATAGCTCTTGAGTTGCCGGTAGCGAAGTACTGATTCGATGTAATGTCGTCTCTTTGGCATAATGAGTCGTAGTCTGCTGTCATGAGCCCGGCGTATACGGCAACCTTCTTGCCAGCGTATTTCTCGAGTGTGTATCCGGCCGATTCCAAGGCTTCGTAGACGACTTCGAGGATAATGCGTTGTTGAGGATCGATGGCCTCAGCTTCCTTTGGTGTAATGTTGAAGAATCCGGCATCCCATACACGGTGGTCTTCCTCGAGGAAGTAACCTTGTGTTGCGTTGGTTGCTCCATGGTACTCGCCGTCTGGATGGTAGAAACCTTGGGCGTTAAACCGATTGCTCGGGACCTCTTGTGATAATTGTCTGGGGTTGGTGAGAAGATCCCAGAGTTTTGTTGGTGATGTTACGTCGCCAGCGAATCGACAACCTGTGCCAACAATGGCGATAGGCTCTGATTGGGGTTTCTTGTAGGTAGACATTGCTGTCAGGGGTATTTCTAGGATAATTAGGTATTATGGGGGGTTTGGAGAGAGAAAAGAGAAGAGTATAAAACTTCGTGTAAGTTGTCGACACGTGGGCAGAATTGTGCGATGCGTGAGGTTGGAGGTAAGAGGTATAACAATAGAGAAGAATGGGAAGGGCTGTGGTGATCGAAAGGAAAGACATCATACTGGACGGTGCGATATGAAGGGATATATAGACAATCACTTGATGGCAGCAACAATATCAAACCTCGCGATGGTTCCTCCCTGGCGGACAGTGTCGATTACATGACGCCTGTGCCCCCATGTCAAAAAAGTAAGGGGGCAAACCGCCTTACTCCGCCTAGACCCAAGCACCCAGAAACCCAAGACCCAAGATCCCAGATCCCCCACGGTACGGGGGTGTGCTGAAGAGGAACTGGGGGGATGAGGGAAGGGGAGGGGCGTAGGGGGCGTGTGGAAGTGTGGGATGAGTTGAGTTGAGGTTCGGCGATGGTTTGTCTGTTGGTGGATCGAAAGGGGTGGTTCGGAGTTCCGTGGCCGAAGAATGTCTCGAACGGTCGCCGGGATTATTTGGCGTGCACGTTCGGCGTTGACTATTTTAGCTGCCAGCAAACAAACGGGATTCCGACTATCATTTAGTCAGCCAGTCTCTCGATCTCGGTCTCGCGGACGCCATCGGCCGCCCGGGAGGCTTGATAAGACGGCGCCTCTTCTTCAACGACGGCTCATCCAACGCGTGTGAAAGTGACTTACGTTTGTTTCGGCGCTGGGAGCAACCGATGTCATCAGAGACTCGAAGAAGAGAGACAGAGAGAGAGAGAGAGAGAGAGACCTACCTAACGACGAAAACGGTTCTGGGCTCAAGAATTTCGGAAGCGCGATCCGTTCCGTAGTGACTTTTAACCTTCACAAAGTCAATGTATCAACGTGCATATCTTCCTCGTGGGGAATATGGGGTACTTGCACATGAAAGACGTTTCTTTGTCCCGCGTGGTTCAGATTGAGGCTGTCTTGGCTCCTCATGTCTAAAAGTGACTCCATCCGATCCTATGAACTCCATGACACAACTCCATCCATCGTCCAATTCCCCACACTAAGCATATTGAGAAGTAAACCGAGGCCACTAATACAACAATTTGCACTATCTAACATGATTACACACCTTGACTTCGTCTTCATCCGTCGAGAGAAGTCTCCATTGCCTTTCGTAGATCCTTTAGCTCCTTGCCTAGGCTTTCTTCTTGCCTCTTCAATGCCTGAAATGAGACATCCACTACTCCAGAGAACATTGAGGCTGCATCAGGGGCCTTTCCCGCTGGTGAGCCATCCGATCGCAGAGTCGGATCGAGTGATGCAGATGCTCGCCGCATCTGTAGAAGAAACTCTTCCGCTAACTGAATCGTGAGAGACATCTGGAGAGACGGCGCCGAGTCGACGGCAAAGGAGCCCACAGTGACGCCAGGAAGTTTCCACGACTGAAACAGATGACCCGACTGAAGCTGATTTAGCTCTGAGTGAATGCAGCTGAAGACCTTCTGGTACATGTCTAGAAGCCGAACATACGTCGAGAGGATGAAGAGACAGGTCGCCGGATCCGACAAGGAGTTGAGTCCTTTGGCTAGTACAGAGTTCCCGCCATCGCTTGCGGGAGAGGCGGCCTCCATCGGTGGAGACATTTCCGCAAGAAGGTCGGCAAAGTGTCGAGAGAGTTTGAACATCTCATCAACTGGGAAAGGCGCCGTGGTAGAGCTTCCGTCATCGGGCGTTGAGGCTATGCTGGATCGGCCGGGCTCCTCGGATGAGTCGATGTGCGCGGGTAGGTTTGACGAGAGCTCAAAGAGTCTGGAGTTGACTTCGGTGATGCGCGGCATCCACTCTCCAGTCGATGGCCCTTGGCCAGCAGCGTACGGCCGGAGCATGATCTGCCTTGTTCTTTGCTTGACACGCTTCCTTGCTCGCCGTGGTGGAGTAAAGTCATGCGGCTTACTCGATCTTGAAGAAGATTGCCTTTGTAACGCAGGGCTTCCGAGATAGACCCGGCCGACCTGGTCTGCTTGCGGTGCCATGGGTGAGGTGAATGCCGAGTCTGAAGTTGCCGAGTGGACTGGGCTCCACGGATGGGTAATGGAATCTCCATGTCCTGACATCAGGTCGTCCATGGCTCCGGTGAAAGTCTGGGGTAATTGTTGTTGGTTTGTGCTGGGTTGATAGAGGCCGGCAGAGTTGCCGAAGCCAAAGTCGAAATCGACCATGTCAAGCATGGCCTCAGGTGAAACGACAGCATTGTCTCCGAATGCCGTGTTACCACAGACAGGACCACCATGTTGGGTCTTGACGATAACTACACGAGGCAAGAATCGTCAGTAAAGGGAGGATTATTCTAGACAAGTCAAAGACACCTAAGACTCACCTTGATCGGACTGTGTGACTTGGGCTGCCCCGCTCTCTGTACGCTGCCGCTTGGGAGTCGGGATGGCTCTTCGTACAACCTCTCCTGTTGGGCCGTATTGGTTGTGGTTGTGGTGGTGGTGGTGGTGGTGCTGCTGCTGCTGCTGACTGTGTTGCTTGCGATACCGCAGAGAAGGGCTCGAAGTGCACTCTTCCTTGAGTCTGATACAGCGCTCACAAGCTTCATCGCCGACGCGCTTACAGCTGAGCTTCTGCCTATGACACCGATCGCAGGCCTTCCGAATCGGACCGTCAGACATTGTCACTGCCATGGTTCGGCGTTTGCAAAACAAGAACAATTTGCGAGGGAATTCCAGAGAGTCGGGGGTGAGGGGAGGTGTGTAGTCAAATAGGCCTGGATCCATTCGACCAAGAAGTGGGCTCCTCTGATCCCTAGTCAATGAGACAGCTACGCATGAATGCTTTTCTCTCGACCGGGGACAAGAGTACCGTTGATGAGGTGCAGGGCAAAAAGAGAGAGATCCAGCGAGCAGGCGAGGTACCGGAGAGCATCGACTACGATACGACCCGAGCTGATCCATTCCTCGCCGCAACCATAGCCCACTCGGTCGAAAAAGCACTGGATGTGCCGGGCTACCTTGATTGGACAGTCATCGGCTAGCCTTGGAGCGAGATAGTAAAACATGGCGAATATGGGCGAGGATGCTGGACCTTGTCCTCTCGGACTGGAAAGAAATAGCATCTGGGCTAACCTCCCCAGAACTACGGACCGGGATATGGGAGTAGGGTAAGGTATCCGTACCTCTGGCATGGTAGGTAGCCTGGTAGGTATCCGTAGGAGAAAAAGAACGAGGAGGAGGGAGTGGGAAGGGGGTGTACAGAACAACTACAGACAAGACTCAAGTCTCCATCCAGTCCGCCAGTCCATCCAGTCAGGCTGGTTCGTTCGAATCGAACAGACAACAGCACCGCTTGCTCGCTCGGACAACCAATGGGCACTTCCCCGGCGGCCCAGCACCACGGTACAGACCTTGCCTGACTTCAGCGATCCGATGTTCGTTACTAGACAGTATGAGAGGACGATGCCTGAAAGAAGAAACCTGCTCCACTAGCTCGCAGACAGAAAGAGAGATACACGTCTCCAGTCCCCTGTCTTTAGTTCTCCTCTCTTCAGTCTGCACACTGCACACTGCGCAGAGCTGCACTAACCAGCCCAGGATCACTTGCAAGGGGCCGGAAGATCCACCAGGGTCCCTGTCTATGGAGACGATGAAACATGCAAAAACGAAGTGACAGAACTCAGAAATGGTTTGGACAGATGTGGCATGGAAAAACGACAAAGAAAGCTCTCTCCAGAGAGAGATAACTTAAAGACCTTGTTTTTCCACCATGAGGGGCCACCATCCGCCAGGTGTGGCGTCTGTCTGAGTCTCTTACCCACCGTCGAGTCGAGTCGAGCCGATGTTCCTAGTGTAGGTACTCACCACTCCAATCCGCTTCCCCACCACCGCGCGGCATGGCCTTGGACCACTTGGTCTCTCATCGTCTCCTATGGTCGACAGGGACCGCAAGAGCATGCAGAACGTGGCTGAAAGGGCTGGCCCTCGAGTTTGTGTGCCAAGGAATGGCTAAGGGGCAAGTGGTGATCCTGCTTCGACGGCGTCGTTGATGGACGTCACATTTAGCACCCATCTTCTTCAGGAAAACGGTGCAGCGCGGCGCAGGCACCAGATGCCGTGCAACCATGATCGCGATTCGACCTTTTCGACGCCTAGCCTCGGGTTCGAGTTGGATCGCTTGCCTCATATGTCAGATGTCACAAGGTGGCAGAGATAACGGCGAAGCCTTCCCCGCCGCCTCTGCCTCGTCTCATCGAGCCTTCTGGCCAAGATCCATCAAGCTATCAAGCGGCTTCGGGAAGCTCTTCAACGAGCCAGCCGACCGCGTAAGTAGACTCCACGACGGCTTGAATTAGTCTCCTAGTCTCCGTAGTCGCCGTGATTCTCGCAACGCAGCCAATGGAGAGAGCTGCCTTGGCTCGAGTAGAGTCTAGATTCAGTTCGATTGCCAACTTGGTGAGTTGGAGGACTCGGGGATGGACGACACGACCTGACACGACGACACGACACCGGGCAAGCGGGATGAAGCCAAGCCGATGTTGCTTAGCCGATAGATGGAGCAATTTCAGTCAAGACCCAGAAATCAAGCCGACCAAAAAAAAAAAAAAAAAAAACTGTCTAACGATTTCGTAGACATGTTTGCCCGTTATGCGTGGAAATTGTCAGGATTCGAGAGTTGTTTGCTTCCTTTGCTGGCTTGGTTTGCGTGGTTGTTTGTGACCAAATATTTGTTGGTGGCTGCGAACCCGGCAATCTGGATTTTCGACCAGGGTACCCCGTGTTTGCGCCGCAGTGTACCAGATGAGATGGGAGCCCCAAGTGATTGATGCAATCTGGAATCCCACGATTGTCACAGTGCGTTATTGCCAGGGGCGGGGGGGCACTGATGCCGTGCCGTGATGACCTCAGGCACGATGACCAGCTAAAACGAGAGAGGAGGCATCCCGCACCAACCGGGCGAAGCACGCCTGCAGCTGGACTTCTGTGCCTCTTTTTGCCTCGCTCGGTGAAGTTCGGAGTCAGCACCGGGGGCAACCAGGGCCGAAGTTGACGATTGGAGGGCCCAGTGACAACATCTTCATCGGGGAAAAAAAGTAATGCCGTAGTCAACTAAGAAAGTTATGGTGGGAAGTTGTCGTGGACTAGGAGACAGCCTTGCGACGAGAGGCCGTTGAGTAGGGCCCGTTGTGGGTTTAAGCAAGTTAGATCGGTAAGGATACGGCCGAGAAGGTGGCAGGAAGGCGCCGTCTCTTTGTCGTGCGGGAAGGCCAAGTAAGCGCTGTAGGCGGGCAGTTGGCGGGCGCGGTTGGATGGCAAGCGGGAGACGATGTCGATGATGAGCAGAGCATGAGAGTAGGCTGGCGCGCCGTCGACGGTGAGTAACGTGCATTCCCTTAGAGCTGCGTGCCGGATTGGGGAGAATGCAGTTTTAGTGCGCGATATCGAGGAGCTTCAAGGTGTGAGTGGCTTGATTGCTAGCAAGGATCATCGACACTACCCCTCAACACGGACCCTTGCAAGCTTCTGCTATCCGCCGTGCCATGGTCAAATCCGGACGTCAGAGGGTGACCCGACGTGATGGCGCAAATAGCTTAAGGAAAGCTAGTGATCTGGCACAGCTAAGAGTTGTTGTTTGTCTTGTCAGACCCTTGCCATTCGATAGGAACGGCGGGATTCCGTACGGAGTATCCTACGGAATAGAGGAGGATAATATGACGGACGGTTGATACAGTCGAGAATCCTCGGACCCAAGGTACTCATGTCTGCCCTGGCTGGAGACAAAAATGGAATCTCTTTTTGTGTCAAGGGAGGGTTTTGAGGAACACAACGAGACACGAAAAAGGTACGAGAAACCGAGGTGCGTTGCACAAGGTGGGAAAGGCGGAAGAGGCCGCGTCGCCCAGCCTTCGACTCGTGGCAACCCAGTCTCCATGACCACTCTGGACTCTGGGGGATCACCAAGAAGTCAGTCAGCGGCGTCACCACACCAGTCTGTGAGACAGGACCGAGTGGGATGTTGTGATTGGGCACTGCGTAGCCCCGGGTTACGGGTAATGTCGAGGCTGGTTTGGAAGCCGATCAGAGTATGACGCCTTCCACCGTCTTGTCAATGCGATTGTTGTCTGATGTTCCTGCTTCAAAGAATAAGATTCTTTGTTTTAGCTGTTGCGGATTGCGATTGTTCAGGCGACTGCGGCCGAAACGAAATGACAAAAATTGGGTCGGATGAACTGGTGTTCCAGGATGGTCCAGACAGTGCCACGAGCAGTGCTGGCACGATGCAGCCAGCAGCCAGCAGCCAGCCAGCAGCTTAGCATAATAGTCGACGGTCGCAGTGCCAGGTGCGCGAATGCGGGCCGTTCCACGGAATGAAGCATCAGATCATGCAATTGCCCGTGCCGCTGAACCACGACTCGCGTAGGTATGTTGACAGCTCAGCTCGAGTCCCATCTTCGAGCACACTAGGCATTATCGCAGCGCCTCGGCCATCCGTCAGAACCGGTAGCATGGCATGGCATGACGGGGTTGCGTTGAATTTGCGGTTTGGTGCATTATGACAGCTACCCTCCCTTTCGGACTTGGCTTGTCATCTCTCGGGTCCTTACATGGCGGGATGCGCGCTCCCGCGGAATATTTCTTCAGCTTCGGCAGAGTCGAGACCCCTAGGCCAGTGCACTGCGACATCAGGTGAACGATATTGGCACCGAAGTGCAATATTGACGGGGGAGGGACCCAAAAGAGGTTCTTGGGCGGCTTTGGGGCCGGCTGGACGCGTTAAAACAATGGAGAGAGGCTTGCTGAAGGACCCTCACACAGCGTGGGGTGCTAGATAGTCTGCCAATCCAGAGCCCAAGGTCAAGTTCCGCGAGGCACACTATTCCATCGGCGAGGGGCGACATCTGAGTAGTGGTTCTCGACTACAGAGGCCGTTGGTCCATAAACTCTAGAACAGGCGAAGGGTCGGTTGGAGACTGATCATTGGAGAGACCCCATGCGGTACACGAATAATGTTGAGCTCCAGGCAGCTCCAGCCTCCAGGTGTTTCTACCAAGTATACGAAGAGCTCGCAGCTTGCAAGTGTCCTGTGATGGGGGGAGGGGAGGGGGGGAGGACTGGCGAGGTGTGACCAAGATGCGTGGATAGAGTTTGAGTACCGGCATTCCACAGCGGCCATCCTTGTGGTTCGTATCCCCTGAGGGCGATGGATGTCGGCTGGTCGCAGGATCTTGGGTGGCAGGACAGGGCGTGAGGGGGCATCGCGACGGAATGCAGCTGACTCTTCCAGAACTCTGGCCCTTAGGCCCATCAGGATTCCACTCGATTTTTTCTTTCCGAGGCCCCTGGAATGACGACGATGGGTGAAAAAATGATCAAGGCGAGTGAGATCATTGGACATGGGGGCCTGAAAATGCCGGGACAGTTCCGGAGATCCATCGAGCAAGATGCCTGGGTCGATGTGAGCAGTGAGCAGTCGAATATGACCGTGGTCGAGGCCATACCATGAGAGAGTTAGCGCAGGCGATTGACTAGGAGAATAAGAAGTGGGAGGCGATGAATCTGATCGTCGGGACGGGCGATGGAGCCGAGTGAATGGGAAAGAGAGGAAGGGGAAGAGAAAGAAGAAAGATAATTGAGAAAGGAAAAGACTAGTGGTGCCAGATGGATGGGAATTAGGCCCCTGTCATGTCGGCGGGCCCCCTGTCCTGACGCAGGGAAGCAAGAATGGGCGAAAGAGATGGAGAAGCGGCGCCCAAGGTACGACTGCACGCGCTCAGCCACGTACGGAATCTCTAGCGGGAGTTGAACATTCCAAAGGGGAAAACGGCAGTCTTGTCGACGAGTGGACGGGAGGTTGTTGGTGTTGGTGTTGATGAGAAGTGGAAATGAACGAGGTAGCAGAGTTTACCTTAGACGGGAGGGAGACAGGCCGGAAGATGAGAGGAAGGCACACCCGACCCGGATGGCAGCACAGAGTACGTACCCGTTTTCGGCCAACGGATCCGGGGACGGCGACGGCAGGTGGGGACTTGCCCGGAGGCCGAGGGCGGGAGGGGCACCTTCCGTCCCCCTCCTGTCTCATGACGTTCTCTCTGCCCTCGCAACTTCCTCTTCAGGCTCTGTTCTGAATGCACCTTCCTCACCTAGGTAGGTACCTACCCATGCAGCTGCGTACTTCTTGCCTCCCATTCCTAGAATAAGGTAACGTGACCTGGCCGTACCTGGACCACTGGTCTTGCCTGTTTTATTCTTAGCGCTCGGCACCGGAGCCCCGACTCCCCGGGCACGTGGTCTCACCAATCACGGCCGAACTGAACCCCTGGGCCGATCCAGTGAGGTCTTGCCCGAGATGTAAGTCACCTTCCACGTCAACCTGGAAAGAGAGGTACCTTGCCTCCTGGTAAGGTACGGATAATCCTCACAGGAAGTCTCGACGCCTCTCCAGCTATTGGCTGCAAATTCTTTACTCTGACCTCACATCCATCATCTGAATCTCGCCCACCTCGCCCGTCTCGTCCATAAGCTCCATCAGCTCCATCAGCTCCATCTTAGGTCCCTCAAGACTCAGACATTGGAGACATATTCTACCAAACTAGCATGACCCTTGATCCGGATCTATCGCCAGCCGCCTCGGCTTCCTGCTCCCTTCAGGTCTACCGTCGAGTAAACTAGCTATTCATCGTATTGAGTATATCTTCTTCTACACCCCTCCCACCCCTGCGCTGACGTTCATCGCATCTCACATTGGATCCCAAATCCCATCAAGGCGGACCCTAATGAACGGGGAATATGCAGCTGGCCTCCTCCTAGCTATCCATGTCGATCCGATGCTTCATGGGGGGCTGCTGGATCGTTGGGTCGCTGCATCGCAGATCGACGGACCCAAAGCCATGATTCCGCCTCCCTGCTGGTTCCAATCCCATTAGCTGCCCTCCCGGATCGCACCCGCTCCCGCGCAAGCTCCCGCTCGGGGAGCCATCCCGCCTGCAAGCCGTGTCTCGACGCCTGGTCCTGGCAGTCATCATCACGACGCACAACTTGGGCGCCAGAGCCAAGTTACTCGTCACTTTTCTGTGCTGAGAAAAAGCAAAGTTTACCGGGAATACGACCTTTCTCTGTGTCACCCAACCCATTTTTCTGGTCTCGTCTAGTCTTCCCTTCGTGAACGCCGCGAGCCTCGTCTGCACACCCATTCGCCTTAACCTATGAACCATGGACCAAGGCTTCATCTCAACGGCGGCCTGCTTACTTGACGCATTATAGCAATAGCACGAACGAGTCGCTTGGCTGCTACACTGCAACGCCCAAGTTCAGAATCTCAAACTCTGGTTCACCAGCGGACCGTCCCGATTCGATTCAGCGCCTAGATGGTAGAGGGCGTATTGTCAACAACGCTCGTTCCCCGATGCCAATATCAACTTCATTCTCCGAATTTCATCAACTTGCTACAGCCCAAGATTCGACTTGGCGTCTAGAAGCCTCATTTTCAACCTGTGCGCAAGATCGTGTAAAATTCTACACGTCAGAAAATTTTCGCAGAACCCATCGCCTCGAAACAGCACAGCTGGGAAAAAGAAAAACTTGGATTCGCACGGCCGAGGGAGGGCCAAGTCACGAAAAAAGGACACAAGGCAAAAAAGTAACAATTCCACGACACGCATCTTGTCATTCACAATGACCAAAATGCTGAAAATTCCAGAGAGGTATCTTATCTATCCATACAATTACAATTCATGCAAGGCGCGCGCGAGGAAAAGAACCTCTTTTAGTCCGATACCAAAACTTGTCGCCCCGCCCAATCATCCCTTCGCAAGATCCCAGCTAGATCTTTTTTTTTTCTTTTCTCCCTCTCTCTCTCTCTCTCAGAGCCCTGTCTAGCCTGATACTCAAATCACTGCTGTTGACTGACTACTGCTCGACGTCACCAGTTGCGAATAGCTCCAGCTTCACTCTCTCCCTCTCGACGCCCAAACCCTCCAATACAAGTCTTACCCTGAGCATCCAATCCCTCGGCCCGCAGACATAGTACTCGGTTCTCTGGTCGGCGAGGCCGAGCTCCTCTTCTGGCAATTGCTTCAGGTCGAGGTGCTGCTCGTAATCGTACTCCTGCCCTTTCTTGTCTCCTGGCTTGACCTCATTGAGGAAGATATGCGCGCTGACGTTGTCTCGCTCCCGTGTCAGGTTGCGGATGTGCTTAGCAAATACCAAGTTGTTGCTGTTGCGTGCCGCGTGCACCCACTTGATCGGCCGCTTCGGCGTCTTGGACTCCGGACTCAGCACCGTGTTGAGGATCGACATGAGCGGCGTCGCGCCGACACCTGCCGAGAGAAGCACCAACGGCACATCCGCCTTTTCGGTCTCTTTTGCGTCCAGGAAGAAGTCTCCTTGCGGGTGCGACACATCGATCTCGTCGCCAACCTGGTAGCCGTCGTGCAAAAGGTTGGAAATGAGGCCGGGAACCAGGCCTTTCTTCAGGTCGTCTTCCGGGGCGTCCACCACTGTTGCCTCACGCTTGACACTGATGCGGTAATACTCTCCCTGTGTCACCGCATCGCTGAGACTGTATTGTCTGGGCTGGGTGATGCCGCCGAGTTGCGGTACCGGGACCTGCACGGAGATGTACTGGCCCGGGAGGTACTTTGGCAAGGGCAGCTTGCCGTCTGAGGGTGCGAGGTAGAAACTGGTGACGGAGTCGGACTCGTCGATGCGGCGGATGATCTTGAACTTGCGCCAATTTGTCCACGTGCCGGCTTCTTGGTACATTTCCTTCTCGCGGCCGATGAAAACCTGTGCGAGCTGCCCGTAGGCGAGTGTCCAAGCCTCGGCGATCTCGGGTGTGAGTGCGTCGCCCAAGACTTCTCCGATGGCCTTCATAAGGTGGTGACCGACAATGTCGTAGTGCTCAGGGCGAATGTACAGCGATGCATGCTTATGGGCGATGCGCTCAACGGCGGCTTTGAGCTTGGGCAAATCGTCGATATACGTGGCATAGGCGAGAACAGACTGGGCGAGCGCCCGGGGCTGCTCGCCCGAGGCCTGGTTGCGAAGACTGAAGATGTTCTTGAGTTCCGGGTGGGTGTCAATCATGTCCTTGTAGAAGAGGGTCGTAATGGTTTCGCCGTGCACCTTGAGCACGGGTGCCGTCGACTTGACGATGTTGATTTGGTCTTGCGTGAGGCCCATTCTGGCGGATGAGATGGAGAATGCTCGGGCAAGGTTGTTTGTGGGACGAGCCAAAGTTGGCACAAGACGAATGGTTTTGAAAAGAGAAAACATCTACCAAGGGTGGTGGGTCGGAAGTGATGTCGAGGGTGACGATGACGATGATGTGCTGCAGCTAGTGCTCAGCAGTCTGAAGTCTGAAGTTTCTTGTTGTCTGTGTGACGGAAGTCTGAAAGTCTGAAGTCTGGATAGTGATACTTCCTGTCTCTTCTCTTCCGTTTCAGAAGCGGGAGACTCGGGCAGTATTTATTTCCTACGACAACGGTGCATT